CATAAAAACATGAATAAATTGGATTACCCTCTTTTTTGCTAGTCAATCAATTCTGTTTGAAGTATGGCCACTACCCTTGTGCAGACACGTGAGAGTAAGATTAAAGATTTTCTTAACAAGTAGAATTAGTAACTTAAACAAATTCGAGAACACAGAGGTCAGATGAATTGGACAGTAGACAGAGGTAATATACACCAGATTTATTTTACAACGGACGACTTCAATAAAAGAAATCACCATGAATTAGCACGGTATGGCATTAAAATAAATTTTCAAGGTGGAGTTGCAGGCTCGAGTCACAATTTCACTGACTTCACAATTTATGGAGAAACAGAATTTAAAATACATACATATGAATATTAAAAATATATTATTTGATATTCAGTTCACGTAATTTTGTTTTCACTTTGTACTCAGCTATGGTGAAAATAAAAAACGAAATGGGTCCAACTCGCATTTTATGGGAAAATGAGCGAGCCCTACATATTGAAATGAAATTGGTTTATTTCATTTCATAGCTGTTTTTATTATATTTTCTACTACAGCTAGTTTTAATTTACCTGTGCTTTGCCACTGTGTGGTTAGAGTAATAATAGGTAAGCACCTCTTTTGACAGTGGATCCACTTTGCAACGCTTAGTCTCATATCGAGTTTCGGAGAAGTTATGAAAATCCTACCATAATATAAGGGTCAAAGGTAGGACTAATCATTTAACCCTTTGCATAACACCCACATTTGGCTATGTTCTCACAGGCAGCTAACGGTTAGCAGGATCCGGATCCTGCTAACCGACAAGCCTAGTTCTCATGAGAGCCCTAGTATCCGGATCTGGAGCTAACCGTTAGCGCTAACCCTTAGCACCTGCGTGAGAACGCCCGATCGGTTAGCGCTAACCGTTAGCGGTATCCGGATACGCTTACGGTTAGCAAGCGCTATCGGTTAGCAAGTTGAGGGCCTTTCTATCATCAACCAATTACAAATAGCCAGGCTATGTTCTCACACGGCAGCTAAGGTTAGCAGGATCCGGATCCTGCTAACCGTTAGCTGCCGTGCGTCCATGCGAGAAAATCCCGATCCGGATACCAACAATATGATGATCGAATCACTGGCCAATAAGAAACTGGAAATTGTAAGCGCGTACGTGTGATTGGTTGATGATAGAAGCCTGGTTCTCACGAGAGCCCTAGTATCCGGATCGGGAGCTAACCGTTAGCGTTAACCGTTAGCACCTGCGTGAGAACGCCCGATCGGTTAGCGCTAACCGTTAGCGGTATCCGGATACGCTAACGGTTAGCAAGCGCTATCG